AGAAAGTGATCACATAAGGTTGGGACTAATGGTGGTCCTATAGCGAGAATTAGACCCATGGGTATAGTGACACCTAGACTTTATGGTCTATCAAAGGTACATAAAACTGGTTTGGTACTTCGTCCAGTCCTAGATATTGTCGATCCACCTTAAAATGCAACCACGAAATAACTAGTTGAACTTCTACTCACTTGTAAAATAAACATATTATTGTACAGCCTTGATGAAGAATTAATTGAAAATGACTATTTCTTGGTTCAATTTGCCTTTTTAATCTCAGTGTTGCAAGCATTTATCACTTAACTGTAATTTCGAATTCTATGTGAAAAGTCTTATTTAAGGATAATACGAAACACACAAAACTGAACGCGTTATATTTCCCGAATTCATGAGAAAACAAACAAAACCTAATGAAGCTGTAGTTAATCAGTTGATTTTGAATTACGTAACTCCAATTAGAAAAACAGACAACAATAAGATCTTACTAAACAATATTGACAACAATCACATGATTTATTTCTGTTTCATGAAATATAGATACAAAAAACATTTAAGTTAACTACTAGAAGAAACCAAATGTTCATCAATGAAAGCTTGAAATATTTATTCAGTAAAGCTAGTAGATAGCAACCTAAAATAGCTTATAACTAGGAATCTGGAAATTATATATATATATATATATATATATATATATATATATATATATATCATTTAAGAAGTGGGTGAAATCAGAATTAATGGATGACCATTGAGCGATATTAAGTGGCTTTCGAAAAATTTAATCGTTTACTAGGGATTAAATAAGGTTATAAATTAATGTGAGGAAGTTTCTATTGCAATGTGACATCAGCTATATTGTCAATATGTAATTTAGCCATATGGATAAACGAATTTGGCGCCAAAATCGAAGAGTCACAACCTTCAATCTGAATGTTTCATCCACTAAATTTCAGTCTTATCGCTATTTTTCAGTTGCCATACGACCGAATTCGCAATAGATTTCTTTTGTATATAATGATCGCAGACGTCTGTAATTCGCTATTACCGTAGAACCAGCAAAAACTCAATCGCTTGTCAAGTTGCAACAACTCCCATACATTAATCTTAACCATGATTGATACTTACATTCTGATTGCTTAGGCCATTATAATGTCAGTTTTTCTCTATTTGTAATTATTTAAAGTGTAGTACATTGGGTTGATGAGTTTTTGTGCCGGATTTTACTAAGTTCCTGATTGGCTCTTGTTATTATTCAGTGGAACGACATATGAGCTGCAATTTTAAACACAATAAATACAAAATGCATCCATAAACAAAACAGCAAAAACAAATTCTTTACAGAATGAGGTATAGAAGTGAAATGTCTAATAGATCAATTAAAAATTGTAGATGTGTAAACAAATACCAGAAATTAATAAACCACCGAACAATGCACTATTTAGTAATAATTTTTAATTTCCCATTGCTGAAATCCAAAACTATCATTGATTGGTGTTTGCCACAATTTGTGAATCCTAAACGGCATGACTAGACATAGCCTTCTTCACAATTTTTAATATCAACAGTTGAGATCATGAATCAATTGAAGCTAGACCACCATTGAAAACATGGAAGCACTGGACGGGCGTTTCGTCCTATTGTCGGATTCCTCAGCAGTACGCATCCACGACCCCGCCTCGCGGGATTCAAACCCAGGACCTATCAGTCTCGTGCCAGGCGCTTAACCTACTAGAGCACTGGCGCGAGACTGACAGGTCCTGGGTTTGAATCCCGCGAGGCGGGGTCGTGGATGCGTACTGCTGAGGAGTCCCACAATAGGACGAAACGGCCGTCCAGTGCTTCAATGTTTTCAGTGGTGGTCTAGCTTCAATTGACTCATGATCTCAACTGTTGAAATTACCACAATCTTCACAAAACCCCTTCTGATACTAATTTTTAATATAATTAGATTGTGTCTAATAGTCGTATCCATGACGCAGACTTCGTCCTCGTTAGTTAAATGCACTCAGATTCAACCGTGGTTACATAAAAGGATATCAATCAATTGAAGTTTCAAATATTAACAATAGATTACAGACCATGACTAATACCTTCATACACGCTAAAAGAATTGTTTAGATTCAGTAGCTCAGTGGATGATGCGTTCGCGTTTAATCTTTCAGGTAAAACTTTTAATCAAAGAGAACTGTTACACAACTGAGGATAAATAATGACAAACAATATCAATATTAAAATAAATCCCAATATCTCATTTAAATGCATTTTTAGTCAGAAATTTGTTATATCTTATCACTTAGCGACTGAATAAAGATTTACTCATTCTTAGAAACGATTTAACGACTTGTTACGTAACATTGACATGTTACAGAGAAAAAAAGTAGTATATTTTCAATCAGCTACTTTATATTGTCAATTGTGTATCACAAACATAAAAGGTTTACGAACAAATCTAGTAACATCAGCGAATAGAGATGTGTACGTGAACATATATATGTATAACAAAGTGAATCACTACAATTTCAAAAATAATAACAGACAAAATGTTCGTATTATTTTTCTTCATTAAAGTAACATGTTACGAATGACGAAATTGACACATCTGTTTTTTCACACGAAAATCTTAAATAAAACATCTAGTGTAATCATGATAAAACCCCTTTTCCCCCTCCCAGAAAAAGAACACATTTTTTGTTTACCCACTTTCATGGTGGTGTTTAAAGATATCTATGGGAAACAAAAAACATTTTTTATACCTGTCTCATCATTTCGATTAATTCCATTGAGTCTTAATGATCAGATTTAAAAATTATATTTAACATATTTGAATATCGAACCACATACATAGGCACAAAGTACGTAATCCATTAAAAATATATAGAATTGAAGAGTTAATGACATCTATTCCCTCATCTGATTCACCTAATAAAATGTTGATCATCGAAAATGAAAACACTTCATTTAATCGGTCCTTTACATAACTTAGAAACTGTATATTCAGTCACTTCACAATTGTAAAAAAAGCGTGAGCACCACACTTTTAGTAAATATCATTTGAAGGATCAAACGTTGATGACAGTTACATTCTTTACGATTTCAGAAAAAGGTTGTCATGTAGTATTTATTCGTATCAATTTAAACCATGTCCGCTATAACACCAACCATATTTACAGTTTTCTTGGTGTATTGAATGGTAATGTTGTACCCACCTAACTTCCCGTTTACTTTATGTATTTTTAACCCATTTGGCCACAGTACTTAGTATTATTGAGATATAATTAGCTATCTATTACAGTGAGTGATATGAACTTCCTGAATTGAGCTTATTACCATAAACATTTACGTTTATACATGAATTCCTTTCGATTGGTTGTCTGAATCTTCTTAATGATGTTTAGGATTGCAAATGACCAGCCAGTTTGGGGATATGTGCATCCTGTGTTGATTACCCAATATCATTTGGAGCGGACGGTACCGGGTAAATATGAACTATGGGATCCAGGTACATCCATCTGACCAGTCCCAAATACGACGAAATGCACTTCCTGGATTCTACTACTGGCCATCATCCAACTCTGTTTATATATAAATATTTGAAACCCTGTCTATAAGTTGAAATAGAAAGATTCTCAATTCTTGCGAATCCTACTTCTTAGACGCTTGTGATTTGTTTATAATCGAAAATTCATTTTCAGCAATAGCCCACATGCGCATATAATTTAGCCTTGTTTTTCTTCCTTTCTAATAGCTGATTCTAAAACTTTACTTTTTTATTTGCTTAAAAGGCATACTATCCTTTTGACTGTGTCACTAATATTGCAACTAAAACCTGAGGACTTGATGTTTCAAAGCCTGAAAAATTGCAAACAATTATTACATTTTCATGATGATACCTTGTCCTAGAAAAAAAGCCACAAAATTTGATTTCGGAATATTAAACGTTAACATCAGTAGATGTATAAAATCTATAAGCAATGACAGAGTATAATACAACAGTTATAAAAGTATTACCAAAATGTTTAAATCTAATTAGTATTATTCAGTTCGTAAACTCGGTTAATACGTGAAGATTACGTGTCAGTAACAGTGTACGCTACAAATCTGGAGGCTCAATCAATAAACTATACAGCCGTAATGTTGGAAGTAAAAGCAAAAACCCTGCAAAGAAGCTAAATCATCATTGTATACAAATTGAAACTGGCTTGAAATGATCACATTACTTTAATAATTCAAGTAACATTTGATTTAAAATCTTAATAAGCATCAAGTATATAATGTAATAAACAACTGATATAGTATTTGATTTATTTTATTTAATTTAAACACATGCATTGATACAAGGAGGCATCCAATATGTATGCGTCACACCTTGTCATTCGATTTGTTTAAGGGCTGGAATACTACCCGATCGCCCAAACCGAAGCATATGGTTTCCTTAAGGGCCACTTGCCGAGCCTTTCATCCAGATGTCTAATCCACAAGGCAGTGGAGCAACATTAGGAGATGCATTCCCATGGTAGACGGAGACCAACAATAGGTTCATACACCATTTATTCCTTCAGAACTCTGGAGCCCAAGTACACCATTGGTTTGGAGTCAGTGTTTTCCAACTCCCCTAGGAAGGTTCTCCATATCCTCCAACTCGGTCAAATCAAGGAAAATTCGCTTTCTGTCCTTTGAATTTCGTAAAAGAACACCCCTTTCACGAGAAGGCAGTGAGTAAGACTTCCCTGAAAGTGGCTGTATACTCGAGGCTATTTGAGAGCATTTCGAGAGGGAGAGCGAACTCTCCCGACCCTTGGCCGTACCAGGGCATTTGCTACTTAATAATTACATGAAGTTCCTACATAATACATTCGAAAAAATCAAATCACGAAAACAACGCTGAAGATATAAAAGATAAATTGTGAAACGACAGGACAAACAAAGAAATTCAACATTTATGAAAATATATAATGCACAAAATGATAGCTTCATGTACAATATTTTTTGAAAATTTTATTTTAAAATACTTGAATCAACTGAGCACCAGTACCAACAACAAGTACAAAACATTTGTTCTTATACTCCTTTGTATAATAACATAAAGATTGAATATTTATACTGGTTACAGATAAACTATGAGGATCACCTAAACCGCATAATAGAAAATATTTCGTTGCATTTAATTGGAAATCACATGATGAAGTTTTATTTAGACGCCATAGAATCACTCGTTGATCCGAAGCTAAACTTAAGAAGTAATATAAAAACTCGTTGGTCAATTCGAAATTAGGACATGTGGTAATTTTCACAACACTACTGAAATGTTTTACACACGAAGCGGACCACTGAGGATATGTTACATTAGATTTTGATGAATGACAGATATCCAAAGGAATCTGTGCAATACGAATACTACCATCATCCCCACCAACTACAATAATCGTTGAGATTGTATTACTGTCAGATAAAGTAACCTCTATTATTGGCGAAGTTAAACAATTAAAAGCCAATGGGTTTTGTATATGAAATGGTGGAATTGGTTGGCAGTTCAGCATCCAATGGTAGGTAGAGTCTAGACGAAGACCAAATATTCCGTCAATATCCTTGTCTTGGTGATACATATATGGTTTACTGGTACATTGGTGGTTATCAGTAAAACCATAACCTCTCAAAGGACACCATGGTATAATCCATCCATGTAATTCCCCACGAGAATTCGAAATAGCAAAAGAAATCTGATAGGAAGTGATTTGCAAAAGTTTTAAATCTAAACAACAACTGATGTGATTGTCTGATTTGTTAGTTGGTAATATCGTTGGATTGATTCGTTCGATTTCTGAGAACTTTGGATATTCCGTATTACTTCCAGACGATGGTTGAACATGAATCAATCTGAGGAAAACAATAGCATAGAAGTAGTTTGGATGTCATTAGGCGTTTTATACAATCTAACCGAAATGTGTTTTTTAAACAAGAAATCTAGAATGTTTACAGTACTGTGATAATTGCTTTTGTGACGATAACATAACTGTAAATACCTGCATCTTATACGATATCAAATAGATATTTGACAACAGAGGGACTAACTACGACATCATGTTAACAAACTTAGGATGAATTTCAATTTTGAAAATGTCGGAATGAAAAAATCACATTGGTGGTCAGAGTTACGTGCTAATGGCTTGAGAGAATCCTAGTATGCTCATAATTATGGATCATCTTTGATAACTATTATAAATATGGAATTAAAAAACTCAACTTCCAAATGGCTTAGCAGAGCGAGAGTCATTACTTACTAGTAGCTGTATATAGTTCCGCTCGTAGAAGTAGAAATGGTAGTTGGGGCATACTATTAGCTGTCAGCACGTAAAGAATCTCCTCTTCATCTATACCTTAATAATATTGCTGAAAATCTTTCAAGCTATAGTCAACTATACAAACAGGAAAACTCAGTCAACAATCTACTTTTACTGTATCGAAACTTGGTAAAAACTTTTATGAAATATCAAAGGCTACTTGTAGAGAAAACACGTTGAATAAAATGGCTATTTTCATGTAGACCAAGAGTTTCAGTAAAGCCAGTCATTCTGCAAAGATAATACGAGGTCAAAATGACCGTCAACCTACTGTGTTGCTGAAAATATTCCAGAATATTCTAAACCATGAAAATGGTGCTGGAACAAGAGTCGTAGAAAATGTGAAGTATTTTGACAGAAATTAAGATTGGTTTACCTTAAACGTTGTAGAATGAAGTTTTTATGACCGCAGCTCGTGTATCTACTGGTTAGTGTGTCAAAATCAGAAGAGGAAAATAATAAATCACTTACCGTACATATCCATCTGAACAACCTGCAATAACTAGTATATTATCGTCTAGTTGATCTTCTTGTCTAGGAACTTGAACACAATCTAAAGCCATTACACGCATATCACTTGATACAATAACATTTTTAAATTTAGCAGTTTTCAAATCATCATCGTGATCACTACCATTATCCTGCTGAACAGTATCATTATCGTCAGAAACATTGCCAACCCGACAGTATTCATTATGTCGAATTTTCGTGGAACCTAAGAAGCCTGCTACTAGCGCAGGTTCATTTGATGATACTAAACGCCATAAACAAATTTGCCCACGACCACCAGCACTCAGCATGTAACGTTTAGAAACAGTTTCCTGGGTTGAATTTATATTATTAATAAGGATATAAGGTATATCTACGCAACGAACACTTGATATATGACCACGATGATGTTGTGGGAAACTGGAAATCGGTTCTGTGCAAGAAATAACATAAAAAAAGGAAACGATGTAACTTTAAAAGATGTCGTTTACGTTAGCTATATCAAGGTACTAAAAAATAAGAATAAACTTAATTAAAGTTTAACTTTTTATAGTTATAAGGATGCGAAATAAAGATTATCATCATTTAAGTTACACCGACTTAGAGATACTGCTGATTATTTGAGTACTAATTAGCTACCTTAATCATTAGTCCTATTCTAAATTTCTTAAATAATATAAATCGTATACATTTAACTTGTTTTGTTTGGAATATTAAACATTCCCATTGTGAAAATTAGAACAACACATATAAGCGAACAATTGTTTTCAATTAGATCGTCATCAGGCTTTACTATAATATACATGAATATTTATACGAAAACGTTTTGTGTGACAAATTCTACAGTTGCTTATTATTAATTCTAATAATAATTGTTTTCTTGACTGCTCAATATTTACCATCATGTTGACACTGATACGATGGGTATTAAGTGAACTTAAGTGACCTATAAAACTTGTATCATAAAGTTATTTCCGTTCTAAATGATATTTTATTAATGTTTATTTTTTGTACGAAAATTCTCATTTATAGAGGTAGCATTATGTTAATAAAAAAAGCTCTCTCTTATAATCAGTTAATCTGACCTTTATAATCTGTTCGTTGGGGTGGGCTTACGTCAATAATCTGGATTTATGATCAATTGTCGTTTGAGTACAATAATCGGATTCATTCCGGTGATCAATTGAACAATCACTAAACAATCATACGTCTATTATATCATTACCAAATTTTTAAACATACCACGTTGAAGTAGTAAACACTTCTATTGTACTTATTTACACCATTAAAGAGTTGAGACTTGGACAAATGTGAATAGACAAGAATGTTGAGAGATGGAGCTCCAAACCTTGACAACCAATATTGTGACGTGATGGTTTCAATAGATATTTATTTATTCATCTACTTTAACACATAGATACTGGTACAAGGAGGCACAAAATACATATGAGCCACACAGATCTCATTTGATACGTGTGAGGGCTGTGATACCGCCCTGGTGCCCAAACCAAAGCAGATGGTTTTCCTAGGGGGGCCACACCCGGAGCCTTCGAACTGAAGGTCTGATCCACAAGGCAGTGGAGCATCGTAAGGAGATGCAGATAACGTTATGAGATTGAGTATATTATATTACACGTTTGACGATTGTCCTTATACATTTCAGTTCGAACAATCAAGTAATGTCTACAGTCCTCCCACTATAATTACAACTTATGATCACTCAATATCTACATTATATAACGTGTTATTGTGAGATAACAAGAAGTATATCAACCAAAGGCACAAAACAAAGAATGACAACTTTGTTGTGATAGCAGAGGAAAATCAATATTTATTAGGAAAAGTGAACTGCAACATAACATGACTACTTTCTAATGGATACTATCCATACCTGTGATAATTTATCACCAATTTACTTCATCTAACATAATGAAAGTATTATTTAATTATTTGAGTAAAAAAACTAAAGTGAATGATAAGTAGGTTTACAGAGAAGTATCTACCATTTATACATGGATCAGTGCTCATCATTGGCAACGATATCTTCCAACTCGATATCAAAGTATCTTCTCCTCCAGCGAAACAATATAATTCAATGTGTTGATCATTTGAATCACCTTAACATATAACAACAACAAAATATAAACAGATTAACAACCGGAGATTTTGTATCATTTGTGTTAGAGAGGAGAAAACATATAACTCAGTAATTTGGTTATAATTGTTAATTGAAGCAGATTAACTTGATGATACTGTAAATAGTGTACATACGTTAGGTTACTTATTAATTTATGTGAAGCATTGGCTGGTTCGATATATATTCTAATTCGATCATTGATCTGATAATTACATGTATAACGCAGTGTGGTTTCCACAGAGTTTTTGATTTATTTGTGGAACATGACAGATGCTCATCTGCAATCTTGCCTTCTCCCTTGTATTAAGCCAGACCAGTTCTTGTTCAGTTATAGCACGTAGTAAGGATTCAATTTTCTTGAAGTTATAACAAGTAGCCATACTAGTGTACTGTCAGGGTGAAACAGTTTAAATGTTACATTTTATGGAAAGAAATGTGATCTACAACTTATTGATTAGCGGAGGGAATTAGAAAAGTCACTGGTTGAAAACTTAATAAAATATTTTTTTAAATATTAGTTATTCGGATAAACGCACCACATGACAGCAAGTCAACAATAATCGTAATTTCTGTGAAGAAATTTTAGAGATAGACAATAATACTACTTAGGAAGTAGGCAAAATTAAAAGTACGGAATTTATTTTCATCTTTTTCCTCTTATATAACTACATTTGTATGTGGTAAAATACTGTTAGAGCCATACAAGTTAAAGGAAGTTGGAGAAAAAATCAAGTAATGTAAAGAAACATAATAACAACAATGGGTTCACAATTATGAAAAAACCCCTATCATTCAGTGAACATTTATACTTCAATTCATTCTTCATTATGTTTATAAGAGAAACTAGCTAATATTCTATAACAAAGAACCGACTCGTAACAATGAAGGTATTTATTTTTAATAGAAAACAGATTTATTCGATTGGAATCGTAATATAAAATAACTGTTTATCAATGTATAAAAATTAATGATTTAAATAAACAGAAACTTATTATAAGCAAAAATGGATAGTGGCTAGAAGTGGAATCCAGGACGCGCGTTTCGTCCTGTTTGGGACTCGTCAGCTGGATGTACCTGCATCTCAAAGTTGATGTTCACTCTGGGACTCGAACTCAGTACCGTTCACTTCAAACACCATCGCGTTATCCACTTAGCTACTGAGTCCTGATAGCCACTTGCTTGTGCAATGGGGTGAAGTTTAATTCACTTGGTACTGTTTTACTTGAATCTTCCCACTGCTAGCCACTATCCATCTTTGCTTATAATGCTTGTAAACTACGGCAATTTCGAGGCATACGCACAGTATGCACATATGCCAATAACAGACTGATCAATTTCAGTCCTAAAACATCAATGGGAAGATTCAAGCAAAACAATACCAAGTGAAGAAACTTATATTTATAATATTTTTTAAAAATTCTTTCATTCTTAAAGTGTATATTGAAATAGTTGTACTGTATACAAAACTGATATCCGGTAGCATTGTGTTTGCTACTTATATTGACATAAATAGTATATGATGTTAGTCGTGAACAGTTCTGGCAGCAGAGAGACAAAAGGATCAAACAGTAAACAATGGAAACAGAATGCCATTTGTATGAAAATGCAAGAACAATGAAGTCTGAGTCATTTTGAGACAATTGGTGGACATTTTGCAAATTAAGCATTTACTTTATGATTGTTAGATTTTATTAACAAGTCCTGTAATTTTGTGTTAAATACATTCGGCTGTCCCCACTGGTGTTCTTGTTCACTACAGTAGGACACAACTTATTCGTATAAAAATCTGTCTCAATCACTTCGAACACTGCTTATTATAACCATAATCCACAAAAACGGTTGTTCGGCGTAGTATGCTAATTACTGAATAAAGATTCCAACTGTAACTCAGCAAGCATGTACACATTCATCTGTTACGTTATAAGTCATACATATCATATGAAATTATTGGGTTGATTAAACTTCGGCAATTGAAGATGAAATTAAATTCACGACTGATTGGTGACGTTGCAAGTTTCTGCCGCATGATAATAAGTAATAACTAATGTAACAAACTGAAGGTCTCTGACTTGTCAACTGTGATTCAAGACTACGTCATGAGATTGTAAAACATATCAAATGACTTGTATTTAAGACAATATGTTTTTTTAAAGTGTAGAATAAAACTAACCTTTAAGATAATTCTGAACACCGAATATGTCATTTTTATTGAGTAATAAACAAGTGTTAATTGTTTGACCATGAAGAGACAGCTGAAATATATTATTAAAAGGTTTTTGAGAACACAACATAGTAAAAAATGCAAACAATTGACGATAACAACCTACACTATGCAATCAGTAGTCACTTCATTAAAGTTATGAAAAACCCCAGTATTAATCGTTTTTTCGGAAAAGCTTAAATAGAAGTTTACTGAGAAACTTCCAGGAATATTTATTGTATAAAGACTCAAGACACTATTTGAGTATGTAGATTACAGTAAGTACAGTTGAATTTGAATTTCCAACCTAATGGTTGAAGATAAAGTATAGAAACTACTAATTCTGAATTCTACTTTCAGGTAAAGTGACATCTAAATATTTATCAGCCTGAAAAAAGCCGAAACCTGAAGTTATGAAAAACTAATGAAGCTATATTTTAAGCTTAATTTCAGTATATTTCTACGATTGTAGGTGATTTTCCAGGTACAGGTTAATATTGTCAGCTTTGAGCCACATTATATATGTCAGATTTAGTGATATTACCCAGCTTTCCAGACTGAATTACGAATGGTGAAGTTGAAATCCGCAATCTATTGGCTGAAAGCCGAGTTACATACACAGCTGAGACCAACCATGCAGTCCCGAAAACGATCAAAATGTACCAAAATTACCCATGATTTGTATGATTAAGGAATCAGATTAAAAAACAAATATATCGATTACTAACAATCACCTAGATTTACAGGAAACGCTAATTAGAGAAATGTATTTGACTTTCTGTGTGTGGGGGATTTGAGACAATTAGTAACACTTCTTGTAACTCATTATGCTCAACCACCAAATACAGATTTGTGAATTCGGCTCTGAGATATACTTCATATATGAGGGCTGGTGATAGTAATAGGCTCTAGATGAATCGAAATAGACGGAACAAGACTTGAACCTGTAACCTAGTGGTTGGAACTAGAATACCCTAACAACTAAGTTACCACTACTTCATAGCACATGTCTATGAGCTGCAATTTTACGAATAGAGTCTGATAAATAAACCATGAGTAATATATTTCATGCTTACAGAGAAACATAAGCATGTCACACGACGAAAGTGAAATGTGTTATACTATAATTCAATATCAATATGACAGAACAGGAGCATTTGCAGTAAAATGACAAAGGATGTAGTTTCTTCTTAAAATATCTCGAAAACAGAACTTTTAACAAAAACATAAATTCCCTACATTCTTTAATTCAAAGCATCTACAAAACAATTGATAACCATGTTCAAGGAATGTCATATGAACAGAACTAATTTTGGATAAACCAATTAATACGGAAAGAAGATTAAAAAACAAATTCTTTATTCACAGTACAAATGTAAACGTGAAAACATAATAACAAACTTACATTTAAATAAATAGGTTCGAAATTACAATTATTTGCTCTGTATGATAATATACAATTATGCGGGTCTGACCGAATTACAACTTTGCCTTTATTAATACTTGCAAAGACAGGACACAATGAACTGCTCTTCATTTCGATGGATTCACTATTATCAACAACAATGCCAGCATTGTAACTATAATTGCCATTTTCACAATTAGGCAGTTTATTTGTCTTTATAGTAGTACCATTGGGCAAAAACCAATCCCAATAATGATTACCACCACCACAATCGACAACGAAACAACCATCCTGACGTACTGGACAGGTAAACGACCAATCCAATTGGTTAGCTGCTTGTAAACACTTGTGATTTAGTGAGATAGCTTTGAAATACTTCTGTATTATAAAATATAAGCAGGAGAGAAAGTATGAAGGAAATACTTTTATTGAGTTAATTACCAAGATAGAAATATGCGTTTTTAGTCAAATAAAAAATACTTGTGACACAAGTGAAGGATTTTGATGGCATTTTATTCTCTAAGGCGAATGCGTTAATCATGAAAGCTATAAGTGCAATTGTTATACAAGCTGAAAGAAACAATGGTAAAACAAAACAAGTTCAACATTATTTTGAAAGTAAATTGTTATAATGTTGAGAAGCTCTAAGTCAAACAAACCGGTAGCCCTATTCGGATTCGTCTGTACCGAGCACCCGTTAACTGTATGTGGACACGAGTTCAACATGATGAACAGAAAGAAAGTGAAGATTTGAGTCTGTAATAAGATGGATTGACAAATAAAGTATAACCTAACAAAGTATTAAACGTCTATTCTAACTAGGAATACATGAATATAACCGTACCAAATTAACAATTATATGGATAAATTTCAATAATTGAATGTCCCTAGATTAAGTTACCAGCCAATAATAATATTAACTAAACCAAACTAGAACAGACAATTAGATGAAACCTATGACTTGGTTATTTCAAGTTATGTATCTTCACTAATTAACTAGATCTTAGTATTCATTCATAGGTAATACACATAAATTTAATAGAAGTCAGTAATTTAGTACCTAAGAATATAAAATGTAATTCTATAATGAATTCGTAAATTAAACCGTCTTAATACAAAAATTTTAATCAGTTATATTAAAATGCAAAATATAAACAGGACAACTTTTTAAGTATTTACAAAACAAAGCAACAGAAGCCAATAATATTCTTACAGATTGAAACCCTAAAGCATAAATTTTGTTATCAATTGACCGATACAGTTTCTCAATCCATGTTATATGATCAGATCTTAAGAGTGTTGCCAACAGATTTAATGAACCATTTGATTGAATGGACCAGTATTTAACATCACCGTATGTTCGACCACACGATAAGAGATGACAATCTGATTGTCCTTTAATCACAAGCATCGATGTACACCCACCAGATTTATGACATGATTTCAAAAACCATACGGGTGAATACATTTTAGTGCTTTCAATTAAAAACTAGATAAATAAAAGAGAGATGACACAATACTTATTTATTGATTAAATGGTAATAATGAGCGAAATGAAGCAACAGTGTAGATGAAATCGAAACATAAGGGAAACTGGAATAAACGTATGAATATGTAACAAAAGTACTTCTAAAATATAGTATTTCTATATATGAAAATGTTCATAGATATTTCTTTCCACAAAATAAACATATTTAACAAAGATCTTTATAGAAACTTAGACTTAAGAAGTTTGTAAGTGGTAAAGAAAACTTCTATGAGCTAGGTTAGTTAGGGAAGTTTGATTCATCTTCATCTTAACTGTTCGCTTAGTAGCAACTAATATCATACTGTTAAATCCCTAATGCTGAAAGAATCTTATCGGCACAGTTGTAATGTGGTCGCTAGTTTGGATGACTCGACAATATGGTGCATTGTTTCGATGTTACAAGTAATCACCCAGACATCCAAGAACTACGCTTTGCATAAGCTTGCATTCGTAGGAGAGGCATGTCTATTATCTTGAGGGGAATGACTCACTCTCTATGTGATTCAAACTCATGCTACTCAGTGTTTTATGGAATGTTTCCTACGAGCTAATGGAAAATAGTGATTGACATAATCTTCGTCTTACTATACATGGAGAAGTATCAATAAAGCATATTAAGTTACCACAATTATATTCTACATTTTGTAGAATTCCAGTTGAACTGAGTATTTGGCCTAGTGTACACAGTTACTAATGAATATAAGTGGTTTGATAGTCGAAAAGGATAATTTTGATAAAGATTTTACACGGGAATGTTTAAATCTAATAGAAATCGCGTTTCATCAGAAGTACATTTTGCTTACGCTAGAATACCAGGCAAGATTTATAACAACGATAAAAAGTTAGTATCCGTCATTTTACTAATGTTTACAATGAAGAGTTTCATGCATTTTGGTGGTGTTAAACTCTTCGAGTTAGATGGTTTAATTTCGAAGTTTTCATTGTCATCTATTAGGTTAATAAATTACAATTTGCACCAATGATTACTAGTTGTTGTAATTGTTTCTACTAATCTCGTTGTTACATTCAGTGACTAAACTACTTGATCTCTAGTGCTGTAATAAACGAAAACTCAGGTGCGGTAAACCGGTTTATTAATAAACGCAAAATTACACAGTACCTTGGTAAAATGTGAAAATCATACATTCGATACATCATTTTCACATCTTCCATTAGTTGTCTTTTTATATACTCCATTATTCTTCTAATCATGTTGTTATTAGGATTATTTTCCGTTTTTCTTCCTGCTACATATTACTTATATTTTTGCACATAAGAGGCGCACATTAGAGTGATATATAAGATACTTTAACAGATGCATTCACCCTTTTATATTTCTCCGGGACTTGGATTACAATATTCCTTCATAAATAGTTTTTAATTCTTTCTCTAACTATTCTAGATCTTGGACTTTTTTAATATCAAAGATACTATAACTATTGTGATTCTTGTGGTATCCATTTAATTACACTGACTTAATATGGATATTGAAGGTAACCTACATTTATTTAGTCAGATCATATGTCAATTACGACTGACTACTATTTTAAAAAGTAGTTTGATATTAAGTTAATTTACATATTGATGAAATCTATAAAAAAAGTACACTTACATTTACAACGTAAGAATAAATTCCACCATCACGAGTACCAGTCACAAGAATTTGTTTATCACTTATTTCAGTGTTATTAAAATGAACAGGAATGAGTTCAGATGATGTATTTAACCATTTCATATTTTTTGAACTATTTGATCCTTGAATAATAGTGAATATTTTACCAAATGAAAGAGTATTTTCAACTTTTAATAAAGGTATAATGAACTTTAGAATAAGGGGAAAAACAAAACAACATAGGACAATTTAATTTCATGAATTTAATTCCAAAAATGTTTTAGACTCAATGAAGTTACTCATTGGTAATAGCGAAAAAAAAGACTACAACTGGTCAGTTAGATATTGCTTGATGAAAAGCAGAAAATTATTTAGAAACTTCTTTAACTTGTTATTGACTTTACAGTGAATATTATCGAATTCTACTTATCATTGTTTAATCATATTATCCATAGCTCGTGTACAATAAGATACATCAACGATGTAAACGATTAAAATGAATAAAAGAAATGATATATTATGTCTATCTTACTTATTAAAAAAATGTGAGTGTAATGAACAACAAATCCTCTAGTTCGATCATAATGGGTGAGGTAGTAGAATTCACTGATTGCATCACTTATCTGAGAAGTTTCACCAGCCCTGATAAGTTGGTGGCTGCTAAAATCTCGTCTTCGGCTCGAAAAGCTATCTCGGATTTTGCAAACTTTCGTCTATCTATTACAGGTCAAATATACTGGGTAGCAGTCTGTTTTATCTTGCTATATGATCGTTAAATGTGGCCGTCAAAAGTACGGAATATTCGAAAGTTATTAATATGTGATGTTTTTAAAGCATTCTTCGAGTATGGTGGAAAAACTAAGTAAGTAGTGCAGAAGTTAGACGACAGATACTAGGTTAAAAAAGCAAATTAAATTATGAAACTGGATAAATTTTAAACGTGGGAGAGTTACATTTTTGATCTGAGTTTTCATATAGTGACAATGATGAAGTAGCGCGATAAACAGCAAAATATCCACATATCAAAAATCTTATTTTTGGGTGACTAACGACCCTAGGTCTCACCTTATTGACATGGCTGATGATCCTGTCTGTTATGATAACCAAAGTATATTGGTTAGAACAGATGTTTCTTGAGAACCTACTAGTCGAAGCAGACCAGTTTGAGAGTGGTAAAACTAAATCAGTGAATCTAATGTTCGAGGGCAAAACTGTACTGTTAACTGTACATGTATGTGGTGCCAAACGTGTTTCCCATAGATGATCATCTCGAGAGATGTCGCCTTCGTACTGTTAAAAGGTCGGTCTGAAAGCCTGCACATACCCACTAAATACATGGAATGTGAGATGGATATCACTAACATTTTTTTCTAAAATTTAGTTAGATCAGAAATTCCACACGAAATAGTTAAATATCACCTTCGACATATGCGCCGTTTTTTGTATCATAACATATATACTGACTTCCAATACACATCCTAATTATCAATTTCTTAATCTTTCAAACTTTGACAAAGAGTAATGAAAAAATGAATTTAACGAATAAATCCTTACACACAAGAAAAGACGGTTGAATTTTTATAACAACCAACTGGGACTGTTTACACTCACCGCAAAATTAAGATTTTACCTTCTTTAAAGTTGAGTTAAGATAATCATTAAAGTATCTAAAACTAGATTTCAAGTATAATGATAAATCTAGTTACTACGTAATTTATTATGTTTAGTTTTTAGATATATCTGTGGTGTGTGCTACATATGTCTGTCGATATAAGTAGTAACACCACTCGGAAGTAGAAAACCTGGCAACAGCAGGCTAAGAAGATCGAGTTGAGGAAAATTGACAGGAGATTCGCAAATGTACTATTCAGTGTATGGTTCTCATATTTAACCAAGATATTCTGTAATTTTGTATTTACCAATAAATTGGTTGTCCCACCTGTGTTCTCGTTCACAACATATCCATTTAACAATTCACTAATACATACTTATTGTAGTGAAATTAATCAATTTTGATTAGTTAAAACATGAAAGCATGGAGAGAATGGCGATTGCTTTTTCATCACATATTATTTACAATCGAAAGTGGATATATTTTAAAGGAAATAAACAAAAACTTACAGAATCACCGTTTGTTAGTCCAATTATTACATATGATGAATTGATCCATATAATTTTCATGATTTTATCGTTTATAGTAATGATATCCAACCACTCCATGAAAGGTGAATCTATTTTTGCAATAAAAAGAAACAAAAAAGTTATAAAAGGAAACTATACAATTTATTCAATGAAAGTGTGGTTGTTATGTATCTGTCACAAGATATGACGGGCCAGGGTTCATTCCTATGTTGAACCGTGGGAGTGCATTGGTGAAGTATCATACTAGGAAGAATTTATTATTTATTTAAACACATAAGAATTGGTACAAGGAGGCACCAAATACGTATGCGCCATACAAATCATCCGATTTGTGTGAGGGCTGGAATAATGTTAGAGGGCGCCCAAACCGAAGTAGGACTAAAAAGAAACAGCTGTTTCAGTGCTTCCTGGTACCCCAAGTAAGATCAAGTTTTCAAGTCTCAAAATTCATAGTCAACTGATTCCCGAACTAAGCTACGGAAAGTGAGAATCAATCATGATCCAGGTTTTTGTGAAGATCTTTAATTGGTCATTCACTACTCATCGGATACTAAACATGAGCATACCACCCTCTAAAATAACCTATTCCTCAGACTCCAACAGGCACTGAGACTAATTTTCTGTATTTGGATTCAAAACGGTGGAGATTTGTAGCTCAAATGTATAATTTTAATGGAGCTTTGTTGTTTGAAGGCCTGAATTCAAAGGAAGGTCAAATAACTATATGATTTTAATAAGTGGCATTTCATTTAAAATTGTGTGTCCTACCGATAATTTTCATTGGAAGTGATGTCAACTACCAGCGCCTATTTAACTTTTTATGGAAGAAACCCCAATAGCTCCCAACTTCTCAGGATATAATCACCAACTCAGAGATCCTTTGATTCTTCCTACCATGTTAAGTCATACATAGTTCTATTATCTAAATATTTCGAACAGCCGTGAGCTTTCAAACTAGTTATCCTTGTTGCTGAAACGTTGAAACAAGAAAACAAAGATCGATGCTTTTTTCGAAGGAAAATGTGACTCAGAAACAAAATGAAGGTTTTTGCGCAAGCGCTTCACACCAAAATTGTTTTACGAGGTTTAAATATGTTATTAAAGTATCATACCGAGGTTATGAGCTCGAGAATAAACCAATTATTCAAGATCTACTCATAATCATCAAAATCCATTGAGATTATCATTTGAAAATACAGATTATCAAGGTACCATAAATTAACACGATAAGATTGGGGAGTCATTCGTATGGCATATCACATAACCGAAAAGCAATACTTACCTTCAAGTAACCTAACCAGTAAAAGATAGCCAAATATATTCCCGATTATCACGTGGGATCGATCCAGACTTGTACAACACGTCAAGTAGCCGCCTAAAAACGAGACCATAGAGCGATTAGGTTTTTCCGAAAATTCAGTGTTTGCATCTTCGAAATTTCGATGAATCTTGGGAAATACTTGTCGAACGATTGGGTCATTTAGATAGAAATATGTATAGATAAGCCTGTGAAAAGTATCAAATATTCCCAGGATAATTCCAACTGTTTGAACATATAGCATATCGAAATAAAATAATGGATAAAACACCATATATAGTCTGCATAACGAAGAAACGTCTATACATTATTTCATAATTATCATTAGTTTTTTAAATGAGGCTAACTTAAAGTCTCTCCAAATATATCATTTTGTAAATGATTTTAAGAGTCTATAAGTAACTAATGAAATGATAATAATTACAAGTCCTATATATATATATATATATATATATATATATATATATATATATATATATATATATATATATATATATATATATATATATATATATATATATATATATTAGAAATCCATTCTCGTATTCGGCTTATTTAATTCCGTTATTCACTAACGCGGATTAAGTCGATAAATATATACGAGGATTGGCAGAGTCTTTTAATAGCGCTAAGCAACAATTCCAGAATGTTTGGAATGCGCTTCTCTCCCTCGAAATGCAAGTTGTTGCTTCAGGACTGGCCTGCGTCAACACCTAAACTAAGGATAGGGAGTGAAGTAGTCGAACGCGTCGACAACTTCACTTATCTTGGAAGTCTGATCAGCCCTAATGGGTTGGTATCGGACAAAATCTCAGCACGGATTCGAAAAGCTCGTTTGGCTTTTGCCAACTTACGTCACCTTTGGTGAAGGCGAGATATCCATCTATCAATAAAAGGACGAGTATACTGCGCGGCAGTCCGTTCTGTCTTACTTTACGGCAGCGAAACATGGCCTTTAAGAGTAGAAGACACCCGTAAGCTACTAGTATTTGACCACAGATGTCTTAGAAATATTGCTGGGATCACTGGGTAAGTAATAGTGAGGTTAGACGCAGGGCATTAGGGAATGATGGTAAATCAGTTGATGGGGTTGTTAATCGTCATCGACTGAGATGGTTGGGCCACGTGTTACGTATGCCTGAACACAGATTACCACGACGTGCAATGCTAACCAGTGTTAGAGGTGGTTGGAAGAGAATTAGGAGCGGCCAAACCAAAACGTGGCATCAGTGCTTGAAGACACTAACCTCTAGTCTGAGCCATGTTGGTAGATGCAGACTACGTGGTTGGGATCCGCGTGACTATCGTAACCAATGGTTGGAGACTCTTGGTGACATGGCTCAGAATCGACCACAATGGCGTAGGTGTATACACTCCCTGTCTTCCCTTAAACTAAGAGATTAAAATCACCTCATATCTTTCTTTCTACTAACTAATTCTTTCTTCCTGTACTGTATCCTTATATGCAATCTTCCTCCTATATATTACCACCTTTGACCTAACCACTCCTATGAATCCGGTGTTCATCTTGCTGTGCTAGCGCGCTATGGCAACCTGGACCGATGCATAAATGTGCCTGGTCCTACGTTGTAGCTGACTGACTGACAGACTATATCGGTCGGTATATTTCAATAACGATCAATCATACGATCCAATTGGAGTCAGATCACGGGCCACTAAAACCTTACTGATGAATGTCAACTTGTACTGAAACCCACGTTAATGGCTTCCTGTCGACTTCTTCCAGCCACCTAGCATGAGAATAGGTGTCTTAAATACAAATCAAATCTAATCAAAGGAAAACTATGAAAGGAGCAGCTGTGGGTAGCACCACTTTTATTTCTCAATGGTAACTGCAAATGAAACTGGAATGTTACTATTGCACACAACCAATTATAAGTTACTCCATCCGGATAATAAAAAAGGAAAACTCATTGGTAACCCACCCTAAATTTGTTACGTAGAACAGACGACCACATGAACCAAAAAATAGAACACGTGCAAAATCTTTTTCTTTGAAGTTGAAAGAGACCTAGAAAAACAAATGTTGACAGAAACAAACTGTAAACTTGCTTGATGTAGTTTGGTAGTACAGTAAGTTAGTGATCAGCAACGTAGAACCTGGTGTGCATATATGCATCAGTCTAAATTCCTATATCAATTTGAATTGGTTGTACATAGACCTACAACTCTAAATTACGTAGCATTGTAGTTTTTCCTAGTTTTACTTTGTCTGAACAGAAAAAAATTAGTTGCCACGCCTTATCAGTGAAAATGGGGAAATGACCTGGTAGCTTCCATCACTAATGTACTGACCCAGTTTTTTGGAATAAGCTTTTTTATACCTGGTCTGTGAAATCTTTGATGGGAAAGTTCTACATATCCTTAACACTTTTCGATACGATTAGAATAGTTTGTAAAATGAGAGTGTTCTTCTAGAAAGGAAGTAGGATAAAAGTATATTAAGTCCATTAATCATGGTACTGAGTTTAATGTGCATGAATGTGTATTCTATCAAATTAGGGGGAATATCCACCCAGCCAATGCCACAACTCACACATCGTTACATGTATTAGATGAACAAATTATATATATTCATGATCTCCGTATATTAAGATTCGATTTTGATAAACTTTCCTATACATTGAAGCATTTTAGTCTGAACAGTGTCTGGTTAATAATTAAGAAGGCACATTGTAAACTGGACCGAATCCGGGGAACATTTTATTCTTTAAATTCAATCTAGGATCGCTTAATATTAAACATACAAATAACTTACGTGTTTATATACCAAGTTATAAGTTACAATGAGCGTATAACTGTTTAAGGACAATAGTACTAACTTGTTGCCCAGATCAGACTACATGGAATGAGTCTGAACCTCTGAAGCACAATGCTATTCATAAATGTATGTCACAATTCAGCTATAATATGGACAATGTGATATAAAGGCTATTAAAAACTAGAAGAAAAGAATAAACACATTTAAACCCCTATCGTTCAATATAAATTGTTTCTTAAACAAGAATACGTGAATCAGTAGTGTAGTGACGTACAAAATATCATTACCTGCTGGGAACGCGGAGATGTTATCTTCATTTCATGTGAATCTATCATCAACTCTTTAGTGTTATTCGTTGTAAATTCATGGCATGGTAGTATTATACATTCAGATTCATCACAATCATTACGATAGTTTGTAAGTTCGCGAATACATATGGCACCATCATTCCCACCAGTTGCCTTAAGAAAAAAATCACACGACAAATAATAGAACTGGACTAATTCAGGAGAATTAATTGTAATCACTGTTTAATGTAGTGAAGAGACTAACAAATAACTTTCCTGAGCATTCAATCATAAAGTGACTACTAATAAATCATAGCACTACAACATATCAATACATACTAATATGTAAAAAATGCTTTACCCTTAAATTCACAAAAGCTAAACCCATTAAATTATAGAAATTACATCGTAAGGCTAGTGAAATATAAGTATCTTCAAAAACTGTAAAATAATTATAATTTTAAGACATATGGGTTCATAGAACTAAACTATACTTTTTGTTTGAGAACAAAGCTATTTAGTTGACAAAAAAAGATGCAGTACGCTTCGGCCTTGTAAATAAATGGTCAGGCTCTGAAGAAAAATTCAGTAATCAATGAAAAAGATTTGTTAACGCTCCATTGTGGATAAATTTTGAACTTGAAGTTGTACATTCTAGTGTTTAGTACAATTAAGAATCAAAAATATAAAAAACTTTTACGTACGCATTAGTATGAAGCTATAAAAAAAGTACATTACATCAATATAACAATTTACCAATAAGACAAACTCCGAGTTATCTGTATTGTCGCTCCAAACACTACAACACCAAACATTTTGTCCACGATGAATATTTCGCAAGACATTAGGGTGTGATATTTTGTTCCATTGATAATAAACAACACGGCAATCCTAAAAAGAGTACACCGATTCTTTTTAGATTCAGAATATTAAAAAAATTGGCTGGGAATTGATAAAATAAACTGATCACGTAAATAAGTATATCTCAATCAACTTTGTCGTTACAAACTAAAATCATGTGTATTTTCACTTAGTAACTTATGAAAATGATTGTACAAAGACTTTGCTACAAAGATTACACTACGTAGATGCAGATTTAAATCACAAACTTATAAACAAAAACTGAACAAATTAAAAACCGCTACAAAACAGTCTAAAAACTAATAACTTACCCACGAAAAGAAATCTACATCAGGAACAGTCAGGATTTGATATGGGCATATCAAAGATGTTAGTAGCTAACATTACTTAAATCAACCAGCAAAAATAACCTTTTGTGGTTTACCTATGTCTTTTAGTCATATGAATCCAGGAAAGTGAAATAAACACTAGTCGACATGATGCCACTTTTTCCAGTAGTAAAAAATGAAAAAAACATTTCCGGTTACTTTTACCGATGAATGAAAGATTAGGATTTCCTTTGAATCAAACAACTACGAACAAAGTGGAGAGATATTTAGTAAATTCCAGGCTTCAAATTTTCTGAAATATCTGTGGTCTTATTTCCCCTGTTGCTCAGCTTCGTACATTTTGGCTACTCATAAAAATCCTAGATGTAATGCTTTGCAAACTAACATCAAAACAACTCTAAATTCATCATACCTTGAACTCACTTGGTGTTGTTTACTAGTACCTTCCCGCCGTTATTTAGGATTGCAATTAATCAGTCTCTTGTTGGCACATGTGCATCCTGTGAAACACGCGTCCTGGATTCCACTGCTAGCCACTATCCATCTTTTTATTATACTTTGGTCGACAGAAAAGTTATTGCCTTAGACACATTTTTGATTCATATATCTTACGGATAACATGTGTAACTGAAGAATAGTCCAGAAACAACTTCATTAAAACTTCTGCTGATATGATTTGCAAGGTCTTCATGAGATGAGTATATAGAAGAAGCTTAAAGTAATTCCGCTTCCATTAAAAACACAGGATATCAAGAGTAATATATAATTATAACTACTTTTCTAGAAACGATTTATCAACTAGCCGTACCTTTAGGTTATGGATATCATATTCTGTACCTCGAGACTTTAAAAACATTTATTTACTTGAACACAAACATTAGTACAAGGTGGCACCAGATACATGTGCACCACACAATAAAAGAGGTCGTGAAAAAATAGATAATGGAGTGTGAGTATAGTAAAAGAGCAACAATGAACAGAAACATTACTTATGATACTATGACTATCTTATGTTACCAGATGAACTACTGTTAGGTTACTAGACGAGCTATTTCAAGTTTTAGAAAAACTCATGAGGCAAATATGTGCGACCATCGCAAAACACAAATAAACCATATTTTAAAGGTTATTTGGTAATTGAGTAGTATGTGACTTGAAGTTAAATAGAACAAATCATTTCAAATATTATACGGGATTACGAATACTTACTTCTCCAGTGGCTACTATTCCCCAATCACCGACACGAACACACCATATCCTAGATTCAAATATTACACTGTCGTCGAAAATGCTGCCTGCCTTTAAATTGTACACTAATTCCCAAAAGCCGAAATCCTTCACACCTCCATTTGACTCGACTGAAGTCGACCAAACAGCGATGCTACGATCTTCAGCACATGAGACCAGACGGAATGACTTTTTAGACGATGACTGTTCACTAGCTAAACAACAGAAATCGAGAGAAAATATCACGCCCTTTTTATTAGTGACAGAATTGTGAGGTTCAACGAAATTTAGAGGATTTAACTGTAAGAAAATCCGGTATACATCATCCATCTTACCTTTTGTGCGCACAGACTTAAGCTCGGAGCCACAGAAGATTGTGTAACATTGTCGTTTGGGATTTTAAAGATATGAATATTTCCAAAAGTAGATCCGCAAAATACTAAAGCTTTATCAACTGGTGAAGACAATAATGAAGAGGTTGGAGATGAGTACTGAAACATATGACCTGTGTAACTAATATCAACATAAGAATAGTTCCAAGAAAGCTATGACCACTCACCAAGCACTCGTTTGAAGGTGAACACAAGTGACATCAACGTTATTACTATTTTTATTAAAATCCCATGACAATTTGATGACCTGGAATAAACCATGACTGGAAAGAGTTTGTAGGTAAAGTGATAATTCATTTGAGTTAATTTTACAGTATACAACATTATCACAATGATAATCTTCAAATATTAGCGATAAATTGGAAGATGACAGATCGAATCCGAGGACAGTGACAAATCTATTTCCAAAAGTGCACAAGATATAACTGTTACGTCTGGAATCTATGGTCAAATATTGGTATTGAAACTGGTTTAAATTAGAAAGTACCTGGTATTGTCTCTATGTTGTGCATTATGACGAAACGCCTCAACAAATATTTACACAGCACTGATTTTTTGTGTATGTTGTATATGTTCAATACGTTCGCGGAGCCTACAGCCAACAAACTTTTTGAAATATAGGATAAAGCAGTAATTGGGCAATGCTGCCAAATAGTTTCCAAGCTTTTATATGTCATTTTTCTTTAATAACTACGTCCTGCTTTCTACAAAACCTGAAACGAAGTTGCGAGAAAAATATTTATTACAACACAACAATAACGGTACCACAGCTGTAGAACAAAGTGAATACATCAAAGGATTTTTCTGTCGACAACCAATTTACACCTATCAAAGAACCATTAAAAATGTTCATGATCTGTAGGTATATTTATTCTATCTATTCCGATAATCGAAAGAAGCGAAATATATAAGCACGGGAATGACAGGTAAGTGGTTCCTAAGTTTAGCATCTAAACACTCCATAATACAGAAAACTTAGTTCCAGTTTATAACTCTTACTACTATAAAGGATTACTGAATGTCTGCATGACAAAAACACTACTTTGGAAAGCTGAGTGAAAACTTCGTGACAAACTACATCTATTTATTACATTCTAACCAACATGCAGATGCAACTACTTATGATAAGTATGTGAATATATGCATACACACACAAATATACACGATTAAGATGCCATAAGAGCTAAACCAGCATCAATGGCCAAGTTCGTGTTACATGTTGTACCCAGTAGTTAGTGGAAGCTTTATATTAGGTATTTATGAATGAATGTGATATTTGAAAAACACTGTAAGGGAATAAGGAATGACAGTTTTTACATTAAAAATAAGTCTAGGGAAGCTACCAGTAAACTACATAGTTAATCGTGACAGTCTAAGAATCACAACCCATTTTCATAAAGAACAACGTTATTATGAAAGCCCCTTACCGTAAATCAGTTCAATACCTTTTATCACAAAAGCTTTAGTGGTGGCTAGTGTCAGAAAGGAATAAGCGACGTTTTTGCTTTGAATGGAGTTATTGTTGTCAGTGAGTTAGTGTTCAGAAATTTACAGTTTATATGTCAGGTTATTTAAGGGGGTCGATGTATGACACTGCCAAAATGATCACTCACAGGACACGAGATGTGAACGAACTGACAGTATTTGCGATAAGTGGAAATTGAGCTGACAATTCGCTAGTTTGTAAAGCACCTAGGTATAGAACCATGGAGTATGAGTTTGAGAGTGATTACATAACACATGGATTTTTGCTAATATTGTGAAGTAATCTTATACTAATAACATGTTCCCTCGAAGTCCTAGTACGTACTAAAGTACTACAGTGTGATCTCACTTGAGGTGAAGAAAAAGAAGGGAATGCCTTACGTTTTGTGAGTTCCTTAATCTTATTTCCTTTTTATAGCACTTATATTGAAAATGTAAACGGAAACCCTTCTAAAGACAAGAGAATGAAGCTGGAGAAAACATTTGTGAACAGACATTTCATAAATCATATGCCCATGTATGCGAACACAGCTTTTTAAAATATAACTCCCTTATATTGAAAGTAAAATTAACTTCCCATCAGCGGAAACTTTACCGATTTCGAAGGAGCTCTATAAGAAATTTTACGGAAGTTTCCGAGAAAATGAAATTTTAAGCACCAAAATTTCTTCTGCCTAAGAGGTTTTCCTTGAAATAAGCTGAAATTCAATCGGAGCCCCTGAATGTAGTTAAACTTACAAGGTTTCCCCTAATATTCTCACATGATTTACATTAAATTTACATAAACATTGTGAAATCTAATCAGTATCATTAAGTTTCGTATTACAGCTGATGCGGTGAAACTGCAGTTTATGGACGACCTTTGAGCGACGTTACAGTGACCTTGAGAGTGTCAACCTACTTACTAGGGCCAAATGAGGATTACAAGCATATCGAGGATTAAAGACAATTATTTGCAGTTAATGATAAGGGTTAGGATTTACACCCGTTATCCTAAGTTTTATTGGTTCGTCCATAAATTATAGACTCGCCTTCTTCACCGCGTTACCTTGTAGCGGTAAATAAATCCACAAACTAAATAGCTTTGTAAGTCTTCGACATTAGATGCTGACCACATTAGTTTTAATGGATTGACCTTGCTGAAGGCGCTCGGTCATGCAGCCGCAAAAGATCACGAGTGAGAATATCGTGCTCAAATCCCCTGCAATCGCTAGCCAGATTAGATCAGTCGATCCTCGAAACAAACGACTTGTGTTCCATGTGGAAATCTTCCCTATTGTCTTCACAGGGTACAGTGTGGGACTATAGGCCGCAGAGAGGTTGAACACCAGTTCAAATCGCACTAAAGATTCAGGAAGTGCTAATCTCATACTTCAATAAATACGATGGCAGCTTATCACAGTTAATTAAACTAGACATATGTCTAAGGAACAAATCTCACGGATATAAACTTGGTATTTAAGATTTCTACTGGGTTTTTGAGAAAAAAGTGTGATACGATAATGGCACACCACATACGCCCCAACACGAAACTCCTACCAGAATATCTCCAATTAAATCCTCGAGGCAACTCAGGAGAAACTGACATCACAGAACGAAGTCGCAGGAACGCTCATTAGGAGTTACCTTCAATCGGAATCCTGTCCCATCCGGGATGAACAAAGCCTCTTCAGTAGGCAGCTCCAGCACTGTTTGTAATAATAAATAGTAGACTTCTTAACTTGTTTATTTACCTCCTGAAATAAGCGTCATTTCTTAGCACCCGAATCACCTCTTCATTATTTTTCTCATTGTAACGAACCAACCTTCTACCTGAAAATGTGATAGCTGTTATTTACAAAGAATCTACTGCCTCTAAGCAAGCGCAATCGTTTGGATTACAAGACTCACAACTTTAAAAATAACTACCACACTGAATAGGAATAATACAATCGAGTGGCTAGTCTACTCTCTATTTAACAATAAGGTCTTGTGACCATACGGGGACAAAAGCAGCAAACGCAAAGAATTAAATCTGATCATATCAAATCTCCACAAGAACATGAGGTATATTGCAATACCGAAGAAACATATTTCAGCAACGATTATTACTTTCACTTCTTGTTCCACACTATATTAAAGCATGATCATGTGTATTTAGGCACTTTAAGGTTATCAAGAATATAACAGAAGTAGTCATTCAGAAATAATTAAACTGTCTTACAATTATTGTTTAGGTGAAACGTTTAGATAATAGAGGGAGTGTCGAATTGTGCGTTACTGTCGTTCGTGTTGTGTAGATAAATTAAGTCGCAAACAAAATGATAACAGACAAAAGAGCTGTTGAGGACTCAGGCGTTCCTAAGAATAAAAAAGCAAAGATTGCCAGGGTAAGTTATGGTATATTATATATATTTATATATAGGTAAAAAATAAAATGCCAGCTGCTGTGCAAATAACAGCTGAGCAGCTTCTTCGAGAAGCTAAAGAGAGAGAACTCGAAGTTACACCGAAGGCACCACAGCAGAAAATTACAAGCCTTTCGGAGTTGAGAGACTTTCAGCTGCGTAAAAGAAAAGATTATGAAGATAACATTAGGAAGAACAGATTGGCTATGCAAAATTGGATTAAGTATGCAAAGTTTGAGGAAACGCAAGGTGAACTTCAAAGGTTAGTCGATTTCCGCATTTTACACGAGACGTGCGACATCTTCCTAGAAAGAACTGTCTATCGTATCGCAACTAATTCGGTGATACTCTATTTTTTGGATGACCTTTAAATGACGCTAAAGTAGCTTTAAGAATGCCCAAATACTGACCAGGGCTAAATGAGGGTTCAAATCAGTGTACAGAATAAGGATTATGGTTCGTAGTTGATGGTTATGCATAGAGATTGGATTTATGATTTTCATCACTAACTGACATCAGCTAAAATGCCAATACGGTATTTAGACAAATAGATGAAGAATTCCGCGCCGAAATATAAGACCTGTTGTCGTAAGTCGGACTGGTTCGTCCGTAAGTTATAGTCTTACCACTCATACTACTAAACTATTTTTACCGACTTATTATACGGAGTAATAGTAGTGTGGTATGTTGATCTCTTTTATATTCTGTATAAAAATTCATCAATTCGATGAAGCGGCAGTAGACGTGTCGTTGTTAAATTTGGGTGTTTAAAATCACAAATTTATAACCATCTAATTGAAGACGACTAAGAGTTTATTGTCAACTTAATTGTTATATATTACGAAATGGTAACATGTCATTGTTAAAAAGTGAAAATTTTCATTTTCGTTCAACCAAAACGTAGCACTAATATATTAAATTACTATGTTGGTTTGATATGCGTGGACCTCTGTATTCTTGGGATTGGACTTGTGGGATAAGAATGTATGATCAGGGTTTTTAAATAGTCTCGATAAAGATTAGCAGCAGTGGCTAACATGCATACTCATATCGTCCTTTAAAAATGTTTCGCCCCTAAATTCGTACAATCTGTCTGTAGCCCTATTGCAATTATTGTCTTTGTTTTTTAAAACACGATCTGTATGTGGCAGTGTAAAGCGTTTTTATATATTAGGATATGAACCATCTATATTTAACTATGATTCTTGTGCAGAAAAGCGGTTTATGTCTCAGTTTGTGCATCAGTTGGTAGTTGGTCAACTACAATACTAACCACTTAAGAATACGACTAGCATATGCTAAAATATTTCACAAATTCAAAAAAGTTTTCTAAACTTATGTCTGCAAATCTTCATCGACTGAGATGGTTGGGTCACGTGTTACGTAACCACAATAATTACAGACTTATTGAAATTATCATAGGAAGATAATGATAGGAGTAAAAATGTGGTCATTTATGAGCAACTTTTAAAAGAAACTCATTTCGTAATTTTAAAACCAGTCTCCCATAGGGAGCGTTGGAGGAAACGCAGCTTAAAAAGCTATTTGCAAGGATATTAACAGATCTTCATGTGGTTCGATTCGATCAGCGAAAACTTATATTTATCGTACACGTTCAGGGATGAACCAATTATAATTAAGGCAACACCTAAATTTTCACGAAGTGCAAATGTCACCGAATAGGTTGGCGTTTGACGAATTCTCTGCAGGGATTCAGAAAGCTCGTTCGGCTTTTACAAACTTACGTCACCTATTGCGAATGTGAGATATTGGTCTATCAATTAAGGGACGAGTATACTGCGCAG